AAGCCAAAATAAAACCGAAAAAAAAGGGCAAGACATTCGTGCTCAGTGACCGTTGTACTCTTTGCAGCCCTAATTTATTCCGCTACAAGTCAATTAATTTAAAGTAATGGAGTCATTTAGTTAAAATAACTTGCTAAAGACTTATTTCGATAGTTTAAAATAGTGTATGATACCGTGACGCCGACATATCCATCATGTGATTGATCTTAAAGAAAAAAAATAGCCATTGCGGGACGCTGGCAGATGAGAAACATCGAAATTATTTATGAATTACATTTTACACACGCACGGTGGTAGGGCCACGAAACATTGTTTGCTGTTGCACGAATGGGCAGGTCCATCCCGGTAAGTACCACGACCTCACAGAAGACCGGCGTGAAGTGGAAGTGTTATATTTCTGCTCGTTAGCCACTTCTTAATATAAAAAAAATACAGATAATATGCAGAAAATGATATTTTATGAAAGAAATTAAATATGGCATCAAAAATAAAATAATCAGTTTTATTTTTTTTAAAGAAAAAGACTTTATACATATAAATGTTGGCGCTGGCAACACTGTATACCAGGATATGACGCTATCTACTCTAGCCAAAGGACACATGGTCGCATGGAGCAGTGGTCACTTAGATTTCGGCTGCGTTCCCGGACAGTGATACAACCACTAGTGCTACTTGTCGTTATAATAGTTGTTAATATTCAATTTCAGTAATAGTTCAAATATTATAATCAAGGTAAAAACGTTAGAAGTCTTATATAATAAACTTTTGTATTCATTTAATACAAAAATTACAAATTTCTGACACAACACTTGCGCATCACCACACCATATAAGATGTTTCATACTGTCGTATTATCATATGCTGTTGGCGTCGCGGCATTACGTGGAGACGCGTTGCCACTCCAATAGTAGGTTTCACCCACCGCAATAGATTTTTGACGTCAAAATCGTCATCCTATACCTACGTCATGATAATTATATCCCTATACCTACTAATACCTATTATAAATGTGAATGTAAGATTGTTTGTTACGCTTTCACGCTTAAACTACTAAACTTTGAACACATATTCTTAGAGGTGTTAAAAAGGACATAAAAAAATAAATAAAAAAAAACATAATTATTTAGTTAAGGGCTTCAACACGAGCCAAGCCGCGGGCGAAAAGCTGGTATCGGTGATAAGATCGTTTGTCGCCTACTGACGTCACGTTTGGCTCAATGGGATAGAAGTACACCTCGCTAACCGCTGTTACAACCTGTATTGCAGGTTTTATTTCCAGATTGGGACAGGAGTTGCGGGAGAGCCTATTGTATTTATGGACGAACCCTAATTTTTGACACACCCTGCAATAACTATAGAATTCCAAAATAACCCTCATATCACCAGTCGGGATCAAGGAGTCGTTTATATATTATGTAAAGTTAATAAAAAGAATATTATCACTTACTGTTCGCGAAAGCGAAACCAGAGAGTATTTCTTGTTATCACAGCATTTTTAAAGCACAAACATGTAATCACGTTAACACATCAACCCGCAGACATGCACGAAATACGTTGAAATACGTTGGTAGGTTACAAGAGCTCTAAAATCATCTTTCTATTTGAACAAATTACAAAACGTAATTTTGCAACGTTAAAGTAATTGTGATGTTACAAACCAATAATTTTGAACTCCGGTAACACTAATCCAGACACCGACTACTAGGCCATTCAAACGTCACCCAACTGCATAGGCAGTCGTTTGAGATATCGAAGAGTCAATTAAAGAACTAACTGTCCATGTAAAACCCTAAAAAAGTTTCGGTCACTTTGATCTCTTCGATTCAAATGAAATCCTGCGTTGAAAAGTTCACTAGTCCCATAATATGCAACGAGGCAATTAAGAGTGTGGCGACACTACGGAGCGCCCCAAATAGCTTTCGTAGAGCATCGCGCGGTGAATGAAATAATATTTCGTTGTTATTTCACTGGGAAGACCGATTATTTCTGGATGAGAAGAAATTTATTAGCCGACACAAAATGCTGGCTTTGATTAATGAAGGAGCCTCTTTAATTTACCAGTATGAAATAAATTAGTGCAAGGGTACATATAACTACTAAAATATTACTCCATGTACTTACTTTAATTATTTTGATGTGAGCTTTGCTGTTATGATTTTCTTGTCTATAACCACTAGTGCTGCTTGTCGTTATAATAGTTGTTAATATTCAAGTTCAGTAATAGTTAAAATATTAGGATCAAGGTAAAACGTTAGAACTCTTATATCAGAAGTGGGATACAATACGAAAACTCGCGTTTGGCTATTCAAACAATCGGTGACATATTTTCTCCTTGGGTACCTACCCTCGTAAAATAAAACAGTGTGTTTTATAGATACTATACGTAATGGTGATCAAATCTTTTAGTTAAATGTAACGAAAGTTTTGGTGAGTACCTTCCAGTTAATTAATTACTTAAACATATTTGAGAAAATGTTAAATAGCGATACACAACTTGGTTTACCCGGTTAAGCTACCGAGCATTTAGTAGTTGGAAAATTTAAGGCTTGAACGTGGCGATATACATCCCAGTTGAGGGATAAGCCACAGGGTAAAGTGTTCTGAACGTGGCGATATGCATCCCAGTTGTGAGGGATAAGCCATAGGAAAGTGTTTTGAACGTGGCGATATGCATCCCAGTTGAGGGATAAGCCACAGTATAAGGTGTTCTGAACGTGGCGATATTCATCCCAGTTGAGGGAGATAAGTCAGGGTAAGGTGTTAATTTTATGAAGGTTACTTGTACCAGACTACAACGCCCTTTGAGGACGAAGGCGTGATGCAGGACGGCCGAATGTTGGCGCTGGCAACACTGTTACCGGATATGACGTTATCTACTTGAGCCAAGGGACACATGGTCGCATGGAGGAGTGGTCACTTGGATTTCCACTGCGCTCCCGGACGGTGATATAACCACTAGTGCTGCTTGTGGTTATAATAGTTGTTAATATTCAAGTTCAGTAATAGTTAAAATATTAGGATCAAGGTAAAAACGTTTGAACTCTTATATGTCTTACATCCTTTAAATACGTACAACACGTCACAATATAAAAAAAATAATAATCATAAAAGTGAGCCAAAGTTTCGTTTTGTAAATTTGTTACAACAAATTTAAAAATGCATACAAGTACATACATACATATAGTTCGGTTATTATATAAGAAAGTAAGAAAGATACGTTTATTTGTTAGAACATGGTACAATATAGGTCTTAAAACCTATGGATCCTTTATGTTATACCATTTCTGGTGTATAAATATTTCATTGTACATTAAAAGCATGCAAAAGAAAACAACATTAATTATAACAACATTAGTTATATAGGTACATTTCAACCAATTATAGAACCTAATAGATATAAAACCTGGTAACCGTAGAGTATCTGTAGTATCATTATTGCTATCAGATACAAATTAATCCAAGTGAAGTACAAAAAGATCTTTTACATAATTTAAGGTCATTAAAAGTTGTTAAGGATGTTGTTTTTGTAAGTTATCATTTTAACAAGCCCGAGAACAAAACAACAAGAAACTCTGTGGTCACATCATTACTAATATTATAAACGCGAAAGTTTGTATCTATGAATGAATGTTTGTTACTCTTTCATACAAATACTACTGAATGAATTCTAATGAAACTTTACAATAATATAGCTTATACATCAGAATAAGACATAGGCTATAATTTATATACATATTTTTATGTATATCTTTCTTTCTGTCTGAACGTTACGCCTTCAGCCAGACGCCTACCCAGACGCCTACCCAGACGTAGTCGCGGGCAGCAGATAGTATGAAATAATATTTATGTATCGATAAGAGTAGTCCGTTGACCACCTATATTCTAAATGTAGCATTCTTTCCACATTACAAAGCGTTATAACAGCGCCTTCTGCTAATGAGTAGTCAATAGCCAGGATGACCATCTCAAAAATGGCGTATCTGCCAGACACTAGCAAAAAATCTGCCAAACTCAACTCCAAAAAATGCCATCATATTATTGTATCGTTGGAGACAGTACGGTATGATTAATGGAATTTTTGGTATTTGACATCTTCTTCTTGGTAGTTCCCTCACTGCTGAGGGTCGTGACTCATTTTTAATTGATCAACTAGCTGTCTCCATCGGTTTCGCTCTGTCACCTAAACTAGTGCGATGCTTATGGGGATTACTAGGCTTTCAGAAATTTGATCCGCCCACCTTATAGGATTAGGGCTTCCAGGTCTTTTACCCTCTATTTTCCCGATTTGACATAGGCAAACTTAAAAGAGCTTTTGCAAACTTTTAAATGTTTAAAAAGTAAGGAAATTTGTTTTTACTTGAAAATCTCTTTCCGAGTAATATTTGGTAACAATTGCATGCGTTGATGTGGTTGTGACTAGTTTAAAATTTGCAATTTTAAACTAGTCACAACCACAGCCTGCCTTAGCTCTGGAAATCCAGAAAGAAAGCAGAGGATCTTGTTTCCACTCAGGTCGGTACGAACGCTCATATTTTCCCTTCATCATGCATGGAAGACACAACTAAACACATTAAACACAACATGAACCGATATTACTGATTTGTTGCCGTTCATAATCATATCACGTACCTACATTAAAAATACAATAATCCGGAAATCCCCGTATCATATAACATGGGACGAAAGTTGCCAGATTCAAATTTAATTTGCTACCAAATAATAGTAAAAGTAAATAATAAGACATAGAATATTATAAATATTCTAAATACAAGTATGTATTTCTAACGTCATAAATATTTCCTTGAAATTTGCCGAATTCTGCCACTTTTTTAAATCGTCAGCCTAATCTGCCACATCTAAAATTTAGATTAGGGCAGAAATCCGCCACGAATGGTCTTACTGTCATTAGCCCAAGGATTCGCGCTTATTACCTCGGTGCCCTGGCATTTCGAATTCAGACCTCTAACTGCCCGGCGCTAATCAGTAGCTACCTGTGGCAGCGGGAGCATGTGGCGCGGACGACAGTCGCGCGCAACCTTCCACGCGGTTCGGTCGTGCGTTCGCGTCATGCCGCCCTGAACGGTTACCGTACGCACCCGTTCGATCTACGTCCGCGACCAATCGCCGGTACGCAACCCAATCACCAGACAAAACCTAAAAGTCTCTGTCATTTCAAATTTCGAATGTTTTATTTATTCGTTTTTTGTTTTCCTTTTTTTTCTGTTCTAACTACCGGCCCGATCCGTCGTCGCTCTTGCCGCCGCGGATTGGGAAACGGGACCACCTGTTGTCAGCGATTCGGAATTGTCCAGCGACGTCACGATCTGTTTACGGACGGGGGGCGCCCCCACCCCCTCGGCCGCGGACCGTGACGCAACGTTTCACGGGCGCCCCGTGCGAGCGTTACTATGGCGGAAAAACAACATTCGTCCCCGCGTGAAAATAGACTCCCCCGATTCCACCTTCGTAATGCCGACTCGTTGCGCGTTCCTTCCGTGGTCGGGTGAAAAACAGCGTGCTTGAAAAATATCCCTCCAGCACGCTATGCAGCCGGTTCCGATGTCGGCACACGCTAAGGCAGAGCTCCGATGCCAGTGCTCACGCAAACTTTAAGGATTTTCTTCAATTTTGCAGCACCAGTAATATTTTCCCTTCGTGCATATAAGTCACGGTTTTATGTGTGTCCTAAAACCTAATTTCATAAAAATGTTTTAAACAATATAAGAATTTAACTAGAAATGTGATTAATAATTTAGTAATTTTTATAATAAGGGATTTGGATTAAATACAACGCTCACATAATAGTCAAAGTGACATTTCCACGTTGAATTGGCAACTCAAACTGAAAAAGGAAAATTACACGATTCATAACAATATTTAAAAAAAATTACATTCAACGTAAAAACATTACGTCAAATACTTACTGTTTTCGCTTTCATTTCAAAACAAAGCCAACGATGTTTCGGTAATAACTTTTTAATTTATCTCCCTACCAGAACCAATGAAAATGTCTACGGGCCGCGTATTGTTTACGAGGGGCGGCTGCTACATTTCAAAAAGTAGTGTTAAAATAAACACCGGTGCGTGAAAGTGATTGGTCTTGAGTGATTTACGGATCGCGTTGACGTACGGGATTCTGGTGACGTGATAGAACGGTAGAACGTGGTTGGACGTGATAGGAAGTGGTAGTAAACGGTGAACGGACGTGATAGCGTGTGATGGTATGATGCGGCGAGGGAAAGCGCTGCTGGAAGGCAGCAGGCAGGGCTCCGTCGACGGCAACAGCAACCTGGCAAGTGACAAAGAGCTCGTGCACAAATGCCACAGCGATCCAGGCGGTGGCAGGGCGTTGGGTGCCACGTCGAGAAACTATAGGCACCGTTCAGCTTCGGGTGCGCTTAGAAAATGCGTACTCACCCTTGACGGATACTCGTATGTTATAGGTAAGGCCGTGAAAAACATTTCAAGTACTGCACCAATGGAAGGTCTGGTCCCCACCAGGTTTTATGATCGGCAGTGGTTTAGATAAGGCTGAAATGGTGATGTTGCTTACATCAGTATTGTAAACGAAAAATTTACTGTCAAAGCTTAGATGTAAATCATATGTGTATTGAATAATTACAACTTTAGTGGAGTAAAATATTTTGTGACATAGTTTTATACAACTTTACCTAGCCCCAAACTGGGCAAAGCTTGTACTATGGATACTACATTACTGATAAAAATACTTAAACGTACATTTCTTCTGTAAATAAACACATATTTTAGATATATAAACACCCAGACACTAGAAAAACTCTATGCTCATCACACAATATTTTTCCAGTATAATGATGATCGAACCCATACCTTAGACATGGTCACTATCTACTTCGCCAATTGGGTCGTCATAACCTTTGGTGTTTCTATAGGAAAGCATCAAGCTCTCCATCACGAATAACGTAATATGATTTACATATCCTGTGCATGAACGTTGCGATGTTAATTAATTTTGAGTTATAAATATTGATAATTTGTGTAAAAGGCCTTCACTACGTTGAGAATCTTTACTTTTCAACTATTAAATTGATTTTTTTTTATGTGAGAAAGTGAAAAAAAAGAAAAGCAGACGAGCTGGCGGTTCACCTGATGTTTAGTGATAACCGCCTGCCCATGGACATTTGCAACACCCGTAGGGTTGCAGATGCGTCGCCACGTCTTAATAATGTGGGCCCCGGCTACCTCACTCACCAGACGAAACGCAGAAGTGCAACACTTCTACTTTACGCCGGTCTTCTGTGAGGTCGTGGTGCTAACCCGGACGGACCTGCCCATTCGTGCAACAGCGAACACTGTTGCGTGGCCCTACCACCGCAAAATAAATATATTGACGACTCGAATGGCGTAGTGGTACCTGCCTCCTGCGCCAGAGGGTGTGGGTTCGATCCCCACTACTGGAAAAATATTGTGTAATGAACATGGTGTTTTTCTAGTGTCAGGGTGTTTATATATATAATATATATTATATATATATATATATATATATATATATATATATATGAAAAGTATTTTTAAATATGTTTATCAGTTTTCTAGTACCCATAGTATAAGCTTTGCTTAGTTTGGCACTGGAAAATGTGTAAAAAGTGTGTACATACTACTGACAAAATATTTATTCTTTTATACATTTTGAATCGTTATGAACGGCTGGACTGGGGAAGCTCTATGACATTATGTAAACGATATAAACCGGCAAAGTAAAACTGGTCACACCATATCCCAACGTTGCCCTTTTAAACGGCAAATAACCAACCTTGACCGTAGGCTGCAGCTATCACCGATGATAAGTGGTAAATTATCCAAAACTATTTGTGGAATTAATACTAAAGTGTCGATAGGAAGTTTAAAAGAAAGCAAGCTCTACGATACTAACTATACTTTACTATATTTTTAATAATGCCTATACCGTTTTAGTCTATATTTCAAGACTTAAAAAAACAAAATATGGGATACGTGTCTGTGATACGTCATTAGACTTATAATAAACATAAATTACACTTGCGTCACTTCGGGCACCTACTTTTTATGGAAGTCTTCACGCGCTGTGTGTGACACGAATAAATTAAAACATAAACAGAATAAGAACACACGGTGTTGGCTACTAATTGATTTTTTTTTTCTTGTAAAACGTGTAAAGGAGATTGATCAAACACGGCGGCGATGGTTGTATTAGACAATGATATATATCTTAATTTAAGTTACATTTTTACATTCAGTTTGGGAGTAAAAAAAGTGCTTCCTATCCCGAGTATTTTTTGTTTGTAAAGTACTTTGGATTATTTTAATAATATACTTATAAAATTCTATGTCTTACCATTATTTGATAGAAAATTATTTTATGATGTGGCAACTTTCGTCCCATGCTATAGAGTACGGGGATTTCCCGATTATTGAATTTTAATGTAGGTACGTGATATGATCATGAGCGGCATTCAAATGAAATAAAATGATAATTAGTGCAATCCGTGCAGCTTGCTACAAATAAGTAAACAATGGAAGACAGTATGAATATTTACTTTAATGATTATAGATTTAAAAAATATTAAAATTAAAAAAAATAGTTAATATTTCTAAAATTAATCATTAATCAATTCAGCTCTACAACAGACATATCTATATCGCGAATTCCAACTTATTTCACACATGGATGGATGGATGGATGGAAGGAAATACACGAACACTACGTATTAGACCTCACGCTGTTGTCGAAAACAATGCTACGATCCCAATCATTAAATTGTAACAACGCGCCCATTCAACTATTTAACAAGCGTTGTCCTTGAACCACGCACGATTTCCGATGTTTACATTTCCGAGTGAATCTCAATTACGCGCAAATAAACGATGACGATTGTTTCGCGTTCGCGGAGCTACGTAATCCGCTTCAATCGTCATGACGCTCGGGACGCCAAATGCGTCACTAACGTCCAATTTCTGAAACACTGAACATCGTAGATGTCATCTAATCAGCCAAATGGCTTTTTAAATGTCATTTTGGTTGCCAAAAGAATGGTTAAACTCTCTGAATTGACCAGAATGATCTTCTTAATGATCAGAATGATCGATTCAAAGAGTTTAACCATCCTTTTGGCAACTCAAATGACATTTGATAGGCCATTTGACAGCGGGTTAGTTGACGTCTACGATGATCAGTGTTTCAGAAACCGAGCGTAAGGATTCATTGACTAAGACTGCTCGTGGATCTATTAGACGTGTCTGTGATTGATAATGCATGTGTCGTTAACACAAAACGCAATAAGTGATGGGTTTGTTTCGAAAGAAAAGAGACCTAATAGTGAATGAAAAAGTTCCAACCGCTATTTCGCACATGATTACATTGTATATTCAGAAACATTTTTAATAAAAATCTATATAATATATAAGAGATTTCCACCGATAATTGACTCATCACGATAACTCTAGAAATTTGGAAGGAATAATCCTTTCACCGAGTAAAGGTCAGCTAAGAACGGATTTTACGAAATTCCACAAAACAACGCTTGCTGGATCAGCTAGTATTTAATAAAATCATAAATATATAATATGCAACAGGCGATTACAAATATATACATATAAGATTAGTATTTATTATAGAACAAGCTGCTGCCTGCAACTACGGCCGCGTAGAATAGGCCGAAGGCCTAACATTCAGATACAAAGGCATACATAAAAATATGTATCTCTTATCCTTTAAACGAGAATTCTTGTATATATATATATAATTGGAATCTCAATTAATATGACGGTAAATTTCGCCGCAAAAAAAATGTTATAATAGCTCGGTCGTTAATCAGGCGGCCCCAAAACAGACGGCCGCGGTTCGAATCACAATCATTTATACACTTATTTTTTCGATTCCAGATCATTGCTTTCTTTTTCTGATAATTTTTTTATTTTTTGTCGACTTTTTATTTTATTATTTTTTTCCCTTTTTTTAAGTCTTTCTTTTGTGAAAAACACCAGTTTATATTTTCTTATTATTACGTCGGTAAGATCGAAAAATATTATGCATATTTCATTACTCAGTAATTTGTATTTAAATGTAATTTCCAAAATACACGATTTACCAAAAAAAAAAAAAACAAACCGAGCAAAACTCGGCTCTCCATGTACTATAAATTATAGCCTATATTTTATTCTGATATATAAGCTATATTATTGTAAAGTTTCATTAAAATTCATTGAGTAGTATTTGTGTGACAGAGTAACAAACATCCAGATTTATGAAGATGATTTTAAAATAGCTATTGATTAGATTTTCTTACAGATATCACTTCCCTGTTAGAAATGTCCGTGACATCAATAAATATCGCCTTTGTAATTTAGAAATTTGAACAGAATTGAGTGGAAATACGTATAGTCTAAAGATTTCCCGATCAAAAGTGAGTATCATCAACTTACGTTAAATAAAAAAGAAAAATAAGCACTTATGTCCTCTAAATCGTAATAAATAGGGAGAAGGACATACTTGGTAAATGGTGAAACTATCGCAGTACATCAAGCATAATTGTGTGTGTGATACAAGATGTGATAAAACATATTATTGAATATTGAATGTGTATTTCACTCGAATATAAAGAGGGTATTAAAGTTTGAGTCATTTTGGATGTCTTAGTTCATCAATGACCATTAATTCAGCAAGCTATTCGAAATGTCGAAAATTTTAGTATCCCTAAGGAAAATTTAATTTTCAATGAAAACAATTATAATTTTACGATGGAATGCTATAGTGGCTCAAATTGAGCTATTTGTTATATAGTACAATATTATTTGCCTTAACGCCGAGTTCACAAGTACTCGTTCGCGTAAACTATTGTTATGGCTATTATTAATGGTTGCTTACGTTTTGTTTCTGAAATACAAAGCCATTGTTTTGGCGGACATCAACATCGTTCAAAATTAATGCCGACTAAAACTGTTTCGTTCAAAATAATGTTATTTGTACTGGCAAACTCGAAACGCTGTAATTCACGCTTCCAAGTTCAATGAAGTTTTTACCAAACGCCATTTTCATAGTCTCAAGACCTTGTACTATATTATTTCATCGCTACAGTCGACATTTTAAAAATTGTTACCGTCAAAAGCTAAAGCAACGCTAGTCTTATAGCGACGTGTACTACTTTTTAAATTTGGCTGACTTCTTAACTAACTTCTTAACTTTGGATTCATTTTCAACCGTGGCAAATATAACCATGTCTCGTTCTCAACTTCAGTGATTATAGCTATTCGCCAATGCTGCTTAAAACCTAACCTAACCACTCTTTATTATTTTCTGTATTCTTCTTCTAATCCATCTTACTTATCTCCTTTCTTTAATTATCTTTATACCGTCTATCATAAAAATCTTTGCTCAATGCATAGCCTTCTTCTACAGTGCATTTCTTACCGTGTAGGTTTTATACACCATTTCTATGCTCCATCTTTTTATTTACTAGACATTATACACTAACCTAACTTACAATAAATAATAAAATAAGAAATTTTAAT